ATCGCCGGAGCCCAGCAGGTGAGGCTGCGGTGGCCGGGAGCGGCCACTGCACTCCAGTCTGGGCAACAGAGTGAGACTCCAACTCAAAAAAAAAAAAAGTTGCTAACAATCAAGATATGAGTGTTACTTTCTTGTTTCCCTCTCATATCTTCTGTTGTATCATCAATTCTCATAAATACTAAAAGATGGATAGCTAAAAAGCAAGAGAGAAGGGGAAAAAAACTTCTGAACAAACAAGAACTGCTGCCAGAGGTACCACATTTAGTAGCATCATATAAATTTCTAGAGAAAAGTTGAATATTACTCTTTCAAGGATACGCTGTCAAAACTGCAGTTTTGCAAAGGAAGAATGCAGGAATATTGTAGTGTTCAAACATTAACTCTGTCAGTTTTTCTCTCTTTGCTCTAGTATTCCACTTGAAAAGAGGGGGAAAAGAAATGCAAGTTATTTATTGTTTAAGAATTAAAATGTTGATTTATCTAAAGCCACAGCTAGAACTGTATTAACAAAAATGCAAAACATTAAAAACAGAATAAAACACTATAGCAAATAATCTTTCCTAATAATATGTCTGTAACATTTAACTTTTTAAAATTTATTTATATATAAATTAAAACTTGATAAGAATTAAAACATTTAATTAAAAAATTGTCTACTATGAATTCTAGAAATTACATACTTCTCAAAGTACAAGGAAATGAGGATTCTTATAAACAGTATGATTAAATCTTAAGAGTAAATCTGGTAATCAAAATCTTAAATACAAATTTTAGACCATCAAATTCTCCTACTTATAGTTGATATCCATAAAAGAAACTGTAAGTGAGAAACAGTAAGATATTGATAATTTATAATCATTATGTTGGCCTTCTGGGTCCTTTCTATGTACCAAATGTATTTCATAAGAGGCTTCAGTCTAAAAATTTCTGCCCTAGTTCATCATTTGACTTCTCTCTTGGAGACTTGAGTATAAGAATATATATACACTGCCCTAGGGGCACAAGAGATGTTCCATAAATCAAAATGGGAAGCAGTCCAAGGAAATAAAATGTTAAATCCCTGGAAATAAATAAATTACCAAGGGTGCAGTGGCTCAAGCCTGAATCCCAGCACTTTGGAAGGCCGAGGTGAGAAGACTGCCTGAGCCCAGGAGTTAAGAGACCAGCCTGGGCAATTTGGTGAGACCTTGTCTCTACAATAAATCCAAAAATTAGCTGGGTGTGGTGGCATGCGCTGGTAGTTCCAGCTACATGGAAGGCTGAGGTGGAAGGATCACCTGAGCCCAACAGGTCGAGGTTGTGGTGGCAGTGAGCATACCACTGTACTGTGCGAAGATGTGAGACTCTCTGACTCTAAATAAATAAATAGATAAATAAATAAACCAACCAACCACCAGCACCCATTAGGGTGTTTTGTTGTTCTTTGCATATTTTATATATTAAAGTAAAAAAGTTATAATATTCAAAATTAGGGGAAGGGAAAGTTCCTTTCCCCTAATTTTCAAATTCAGAATATGAATTTCTATGCCTCTTTAAATAAATAGAAGTATTATTCAAATGAGTAGAAAACTAAAGGAAAAAAAACAACTAGAGAAACATGGAAAAGAAAGCCTTTATCTTACTGGTGCTTCTGACATGAGAACAGGATGCAGGCTGGCTTCTGATTTGACGTGCATTTTATAGGTATGATCCAAAATTGCCTGGAAACTGTCCCAGTCTTCAACTAGAATATAAAATTACAGCTTGAAAACAATGCTTAGCTGAAGATGAATTTAACATCTTTTGAGAGATTGTTTCAATGACTTAGCAATTAATACTTTAATACGCAGAACCTATATATTTTACAGACCAACTTCATAACATAGCACTTATACAGAGGTCATCTTTATTTTCTAGATATAGAGAAGCTTTTTTTGATCCCTCAGCCCCCAAACCTTTCCAAATGTAATTCAGGTATATAACAAACCTAAAACACTAAATTAATGCTATTCATGCCAGGCATGGTGGCTCACACCTATAATCCCCACTTTGGGAAGAGGAGACTAGAGTACTGCACCTGAGCCCAGGGGTTTAAGACCAGCCTGGGCAACATGGCGAGACCTCATCTCTACAATAAATCAAAAAATTAGCTGGGCATGGTAGCATGCACCTGTAGTTCCAGTTACTTGAAAGGCTGAGGCAGAAGGATCGCTTGAGCCCAGCAGATCAAGGCTGTGGTGACCTTGAGTGTGCCACTGCACTCCAGCCCAGGTGACAGAGACTCTGACTCAAAAAAAAAATATGTTATTCATTAAGTACTTATTAGAGGCCAGTATGTGATCAGAATGATAAGCGGAAATACAAAAGAAATTGTATGGTCTAGACCTGACACAAAAAACTTACAATCTACTTGAAAAAAAGATTAAAAGACAGTTTAAAAACTCAGAGAATAGCATATGCCTTCAGTTTGACTTCCACCTAAACAATGCACCAAAACTTCTCACCTCAGTCACTAATGACCTTTTAACAGGCAAATTCATGGACGCTTCACAGTTTTGAATCTCATGTGGCCTCTCTAAATTATGACACTATTGCCTACACAGGCGTTAAACTTTTTCTGTCACAGCCCATAGAAGAAATGTCATTACTTATATACTTCCCCAGACCCATCTGGACTTTTTTTTTTGGTCAATGGACTTCATTGGTAGCTTTAACTTCTTTCTCACCTTCTTTGTGTAAATCTCAATGTCACAGCCAAAAACACTGAGAATAGCTGGACATTTTGTTTCCAGAAAACTTCTCTTCTCTTGGTCTTCTCCTGAATTTTCTCCTACATTCCTAACTGTTCCTTTTCATTTTCCTTTATAAGCACCTCTTCTCTATTGGTTAAATATAGAACATGTTTTTGCTAGGAACTCCATCCTCAATCTTCTCATATTCCAAATTATTTCTGGGTAATAAAATGCAACTCCATGTCTTAAAATCTTTCTCATGGACTTTCAGTCATCTGCTAACTGGATTATCATCTAAATGTCTAAACACTTTGAACTCAATGAGCCCATTTAACTTGCTATGCATGAGAGAGCTAACACAACAAGCCCAAGAAAGACCTGCTTGCAAGGCTGACTCTTAGTTGGTAAATGGTTCCCTATACTGACATAAAATTTTCAGTCGGGGCCAGGTGTGGTGGCTCACACCTGTAATCCAAGCACTTTTGGGGAAGCCAGGTGGGCAGACTACTTGAGCCCAGAAATTCAAGACCAGTCTGGGCAACATAAAAAAAACCTCATCTCTACAAAATATTAAAAAAATTAGAGGGTGTAATAGGATGCACCTGTAGTCCCAGCTACTTGGGATGTTGAGGTGGAAGGATCACATCTGGGCCCAGGAGGTCGAGGCTGTTATAAACAGTGATTGCTGTGATTATGCCATGGCACTGCAGCCTGGGAGACAGAGTGAGACCCTGACTCAAAAAATAATAATAATTTTTTTAGCCTAGAGTGGTGGCTTATGCCTGTAATCGCAGCACTCCAAGAGGCCGAGGTAGGAAGACTGCTTGAGCCCAGGAGTTCGAAATCAACCTAGACAATTTAGTGAGACCTCATCTCTAGAACAAAACAAAACAAAACAAAACAAAATATTAGGCAAGCATGGAGGCATGCAGCTATAGTCCCGACTACACAGGAAGCTGGGGCAAAAAGATTGCCTGAGCCCAGAAGATTAAGATTGCCACAACCATGATTGCATCACTACACTCCAGCCTGGTGACAGAGTGTAACCTTGACACCTTGACACACACACACATACACACACACACACTTTCCCTAACTGGTTAGAGTAGCTCACTATACCTAAACAGTTTGTACAAACAATGTGGTTTGTTTGGAACACCGTTTTCCTTCTTGGAGTCTAAAATTTTGGTACATGCCAGGCAGAGTGTACTTACATAACCAGCCCCAGTAAAAACCTACTGAGTCTCTAATGAGTTCTCCTGGTAGACAACACATGTGTTGCTACCCCCTGCTGCTGGAAGAAACTTGTTGCTGGAGGGATTAAACACCTCCTGTGTGACTACTACGTGAAGACGCCTGGAAGCATGCATCTGGCCTTCATCCCCGTCCCCTTTCCTTTGCTGATTTTGTTTTGTATCTGAATGTTTTGCACAACAAATCTTAGCTGCGAGTTCAACTACATGGTGAGTCCTCTGAGTAAATCCTTTAGTGAGTACCTGAACCTAAAAGTGATTTTGGGTATCCCTGATACATTAGCCTTTTAAGACCATAAAACTTGTTCTTCCTCCTTCTATTCCTATCTCAGTGCCTGAAAAGCAGTTTGTGGAATAAAAATATATATAAACCTAATGATCAACATATAAAAAGACAATGTTTTATATCTAAAATACCATACATTCTTGATAATCAAATCAAGGGAAAAACATCATACCCATGCCATTTTTCAGTGGTGAAATGGCCTCCATATTCTCCCTGGGAACACGCAGGGCATTCGTATCTATGTAGTAGGTGGGACCTCCTTGTTTGCCTTTATCGCCATCTATTTCCATCAAGGTGCTTCCATCATCTCTTTCTACCACCATACCGATAGCTGTGGGAAAATCTACCTGTAAGAGTCAAAAACATGATATAGAAGTTTCACCTGCTTTTATCAAGGAGTCAATTTTTTCCCCAACTATTGCTTTATCATATTTTAAAAATCAGAATTTCTGAATGTATTTAATTCTATATGAATGGCCCTATGTATGCAATTGACTGTAACATCACACTTACCTTGGGGCAGTCCTCACCAGCATAACCAGCTCTCACAGTATAAGACCCAATGTCAAAAACAAGGGCTCCAACTTCATCTGAAAAGATTAAAAGATAATAGTATTAACAACTTGCTATGGCCAGGCACGGTGGTGCACATTCCAGCACTTTGGGAGGCTGAGACAGGAGGAACGCTTGAGGCCAAGTGTTTTGAATCCAGCCTGGGTAACATAGCAAGATCCTGCCTCTATAAAAAAAGTCTAAAAAATTATCCAGGTGTGGTGGCACACACTTGTAGTCCCAATTACTCAGGAGGCTGAGGTGGGAGGATGGCTTAAGCCCAGGAGGATGACTTAAGCCCAGGATGACAAGGTCAAGGAGGTCAAGTGCAGTGAGCCAAGATCACGCCACTGCACTCCAGCCTGGAAGAGAGAGTGAGGTCTTGTCTCTAAAAAAATTTAAAAACTTGCTAAGAGAAAATTTTAAAAGTACTTAATGCACTTAAAATAAAGTATGTGAGCAGGGCTCGGTGGCTCAGCCTGTAATTCCGCACTTCGGGATGCTGAGGTGAGTGGACTACCTGAGCCCGCAGGTTCGAGATCCGCCTGGGCAAGTTGGCGAGACCTCATCTCTACAATAAATCAAAAAATTAGCCGGGCATGGTAGTGTGCACCTGTAGTTCCAGCTACTTGGAAGGCTGAGGCGGAAGGATCGCCAGAGCCCAGCAGGTCAAGTCCGCAGTGGCCAGGAGCGGCCACTGCACTCCAGTCTGGGTGACAGAGTGAGACTCCAACTCAAAAAAATAAAAAATAAAGTATGTGAAAGCTCTATAAAATTTAACTACACTCATATTACTACTATCTTGAACCTAATTTAAATACACTTAAATATTCATTTGATTAAAATATAACAAGTCATACATTGTACATCAATAAAGGTGCAATGAGGAAAAAGACGGTACACTAAAACTGGGTAATTTGCTTTGCTAGGTACTGATTTTTCAAAATATTTTCCCCCAATAATTAAATTTAATAAATATGATTTATCTCTATTAAACTGGCAAAAATTAGTAAGTCTGATAAGACCAAGTGCTGACAAGGATGTAAGAAAAGAGGAGCTATTATATATTTGCTAGTAAAAGCTGTAAACTGGTACGTACAATCACTAAGGGCAATTTAGTCATAAAGTTGAATTTGTGCATACATAGAAATTACACTCACATCTATTCTAGAGAAATCCATACATGTTACAAGGAGACATGTGCGAGAATGTGCATGAGCTATATGAACTTGGGCAATTTATTATTCACTCTACCTCAGTTTCCTAATTTGTAAAATGTACACGATAGCTCCCATCTCACAGGATGCTATAATAACTGTGTTAAATGCTCTAATGTAAACAGACACTTAGAACAGTACCTGACATACAATAAGCACAGTAAGTGGGAGCTGCAGTTACAGTTGTTATTGTTGCACTGCTTGCCACAGGAAAAAGGCAGAAATAATCTAACGGTTTCTTGGCAGGGAAATAGATAAACTATAGTTTATCCATATAGAGGAATACTATACAGGAGTTCAAATGAATGGCCTAGACCTACATGTGTCGACATCAATAAATCTCAAAAGAATGCTTAGTGGTTTTTTTTGTTGTTGTTTTTTTAAAGAATGCTTAGTTTTAAAAGCTAGTTACAGTCAGGCACGGTGGCTCAGGTGTGTGTGTATCCCAGAACTTTGGGAGGTGGAGACGAGAGGACTGCCTGAGCCCAGAGGCTCAAGACCAGCCTGGGCAACTTGGCAAGATCTCATCTCTACAACAAATCAAAAAATTAGCCAGGCATGGTGGGGCACACCGGGGTTCCAGCTACTTGGAGGCTGAGGCAGAAGGATCGCCTGAGCTCAGTAGGTAGGGGTAGCAGTGGCCGTGAGCATGCCACTGCATTCCAGCTGAGTGACAGAGTAAGACTCTGACTCAATAAATAAATAAGCAAATAAATATGAAGAGATATTTATTATAATTTCTAAATAAATATGAAGAGATATTTATTATAATTTCTAATATAGAAGGAAATGTATGTATTTCTTATATTTCCCAAGATAATTAACTCTTCCCTATAAAATTCTTTGATCCAAACTATCTTGCTGGAGACAAGTGACCCTTAAAAGGAGAACACATTTGTTTTCACCAAAGCACCTAAGCTGAAGTGCAAATGGTAAGTCAAGTATAACAATGAACATGAATTGGTAAAATTTAGCCATTTGATTAACCAGAATGCTGGGTAAAGAAATATCCTGACCAGGCACAGTGACTCATGCCTATAATCCCCGTGCTTTGGGAGGCTAAGACAGGAAGATTGCTTGAGGCCAGGAGTTCAAGACTGGCCTAGGAAATATAGTGAGACCTTGTCTCTATTTAAAAAAAAAAAAAAAAAGTTAGTCAGGCATGGTGGCATGTGCCTGTAGTTCCAGCTATTCAGGAAGCTGAGGCAGAAGGATCACTTGAGCCCAGGAGCTCAAAGTTATAGTCAGCTATGATTGCACCACTTTACTCCAGCCTGGACAAAAGAGCGAGATTCTCTCCTTTTTTTTTTTTTTGAGTTGGAGTCTCACTCTGTTGCCTAGACTGGAGTGTGGTGACCGCTCCCAGCCACCACAGCCTTGACCTGCTGGGCTCCGGCGATCCTTCCACCTCAGCCTTCCAAGCAGCTGGAATTACA